TCGGCCTTGAGCTTCACACTTATAATATAGTATGATAATTATTTTGCATAGCAATGGAGTAAGTACTTAGAAAACATTTGATTGAAGTTGTATTTAAACTAAAAAAAAAATTCAAATTTGTGAAGGTTGACAAATTGTGTGTGCAATTTTGATAATTTAAAAGACATCACTTGAAGTACACCATCAATGCTAATATTTTAATATTTCAATATTTCAATATTTCTTTGAAGTTCAACAATATTTCAAGAAAAAAGAAAGAAGGAAGACATAGGCAGAAAATAGCTTTTCCTCCCTTTTGAAAAATAAGCAGAAAACAGTTTTGGATCAACTACTATTACTCAAAATGTCGTTCTTATTTACTGTTTGCAAAAGATATAGATTGAAGTCATGACAATAGCACCATCCAAATGAAAAAAAGAACGACTAGTGTTAGGTGGGTAGCTTGCTTCTTCTTTCTATTTTTTGGTTAAAAGAATAATATATTTACAATACGAAGAGAGAGTTTGGATTGGCTTTTAAGCTGGTCAAATCAGCTTTTAAGCTCTTTTTAGTTTTTTTAAGTGTTTAGCAGAGTTAAAAAGTGCTTAAAATTAGTTAAAAACTACGTACAACAAGCCAAAAACAATAAGTTGGGCAACCCTAACTTATTGCTTTTTGGCTTTGATCACGCCCAACTATGCCTTATAAAAAGGACAAAGCGGTCGTTGCAAATATATTCCGATTAACAAGTCCGGAATCGAATCTTACAGGGAATTAACCTATCAAACACAACTATTGGACTCACACAAATTCAAGGATTCAATCTTCAGAAAATATTTAAGTAATAAATTGGATATTTACTAACTAAATATTACGTAATAAAAATGCAGTAAATAAGAACTAACTATGAACGGATTGTAGGCAAGAATTGGAATGATCTAAGGTCCTAATTTCCCCTATTGTCGGAATCTTTCCGCTACGTTTTCTATAAATTTGCGTAAGTCTTCTTTATCGATCATGAGCACTCTGACTGTCGTAACTCTCTCCCGAGTAATTACAACAATATACTAGACGTATTCTCCCGAATTACGCTAGCTAGCCTTAAGTACAGCTCACTTAGATCGCACCAAGGTTTCATTATCCCTAATCCCACCTTTAAACCCTTCGTATTGATCCCTCATATACGTTAGGAGTGATGTTGTTCAACAACTACCTAAGTATGCACTCTCTCCCGGGTAATACATACTAAATAGGAACAGTTAATTGAGAGCCCTTCAATCAACAACAATAAGCATATAGTTGAACAAATAGAGAGAATACTATAGCAAATCTATATTAACGTAACAAAAAATCATCCTCCAATAAGTTCCATCAAAACCCTAGATTAAGAGTTTAGCTACTCATACTCATAGTAGCAATATCCAAAGTAATTTGCATAATTAAATTACAAAGTAAGGATAACGGGATGTAGAAATCGATGATTCTAACTCCCAAGTAGTGTTCCATGAGCTATCCTTGCCTTCGGTTGCAAATATTCTTCAAAGTGGCATTTTTGGGTCTATTTATTTGTTTAGGACAAGACCTAAATGAGTAGGTCAAATCTTAGTCAAGCCGGGAAACGAATTAAGTCTTCAAAACTCGGACTGCACCTGGCCCCAAGCCTGGCGTCGCCAACCTAACGCCAGCTTCAGCCTGGCCTTATCCTTGTAGCGCTAGCCTAACGCCAGCCCCAGCCTGACCTTTGCCTTGCAACGCCAGCTGTAGACATGTAATTTTTGACCCTCCCCAAGATTTTTCATATTTTAGCGTAAATATTCAGTTTAGGTTTAGTATCGCTCTTTACTTTATTTTATCTAAAAAAAGAAACTACAAAAATATTTTCCCTTATTCTAGCTAGTTGATATTTTTGAAAAAAATACAAAAATAGTCTTGGCATTTTATTTTCCAAAAAAGATAAGAAGCAAAAGTTCAAAAAATGTTTTACATTTTAGTATATATTGAGTAGTATTTAAATTTTCATTAATATGGTAATTATATGTCTTCTCTAAACATTTTTATTATCTTAAATATAATAGTATCTTTATAAAGTTATATTTAATTTATTTTTAAATTCAAAGGAAAATAAAAATAAAAAAAGAATTTTGATTTAGTCTTTCTACCCCAAAGTTAATTAGCCTAAATTCATGACCTATATCCCTTCAACATTGAAATCTCTCTAAAACTAACACCTAAGGGGACACGAAAAAAGAGCGCAACTTCTTCCTGAAAACACAAAGCTCGGATAGGAATTTTGAGAACCAATTTCGAAGAGCAGCCATTTTTCAGCTCCAAGAAAAGAGCTAGCTAAGAAAAAGATTTCTCGAACTCAAAAGAGAACGAGCAGTAGCTTCGACCTCACTCTAAAATTGACCCCCAATCTTTCCTTTTAAAACCGTGCCTCCAATCTTCCCCTTTCCTAAAACCCAAATAATTGATGTCGTCATCTCATATTCACAAAATTGATCGGATTGCAAATCACACTCTCGAAGTTCAAAGTCGCACTCGATTAGTGATAAGCAAATATCAGTGTGACGCCAAAAATTGAAAGGGGAGAAGCAATAACAAAGAAATGGAAAACGGCAAATAAAGAAAACGGAGGAGATTTCTATGGTTTGATTAATTCTTAATCAAGTTTCAAGGAAAGAAAATCAGAAAAAATACCAAAATAAAATACATTTTAGCCCCTTTCTTCTGATTTCGGTTTAGTTAGTCGATTGAGTTTGAGGTTGGCTTGAATTTATCACTGGAGTTTGCTCCCTTTGGCTTCGAGCTTTCGGGTGCCGATTCGAATGCCCGGCCGCGGTTCGTCGCATTTCTGAGTTCAAAGCTACCGCACAATTAATTTTCTGAGTCATTTGAGGTTCGTTTCTCATTTTCTTATACTCTGTTGCTTAATATCACGACCCCATTGTTTTATTAGTTTATCCTTGTTCTGTTTGGTTGATATTTGCTTACCTCATTTAGTTGCTGATTATTGGTTGTATGTTATTTAGCTTAATCTATTTAGATGAGTCTTGATAGTTAAAAATGAATTTTTATTCCATGTTTTCACTGGTTAATTAAGAGAGAATTGTTTAAAGCCTCACAACTACTATTTTGATGGCCAAGGAATTAATTTGACATATATCTAAGAGATTGGCTGGAGTTTTCGCTACTTTGAATGTGAGGATTTGGACGTGTCGAATGGAAAAATTAAATTTATAATTTTAATTGTTTTACTTTTCTTGCTCGGTCCGCTAGTAGTATGTTATAGGTCGGCCACACTTCGGTAGACAAACTTTTCGGCGCGTAAGTAAATCATCATAGCTACGGGTACGGTTCCCGTGACGTAGTTGTGATACATAATTTCCAAATTTGGGGCTACATTTATGTGACCCGGCCACAATTTCTCATAATGATAATAAAATTAAACATGTTGTAGATTGTGGGTACGGTTCCCGTGACGCGATTCACAATGTGTACCAAACAAACAAGTGTACGACAATCGTAACTTGTTTAGAATAATTTTATAAATAATTAAAAGCGGTATAAGAAATAAAATACACAATAGGTTTTAAATATGTAATAAATCAGATAATTAGGCCAATTATTAATAGTTGCGCGACCGTACTAAAACCACGGAACACGGAAATGCCTAACATCTTCTCCCGGGTTAACAAAATTCCTTATCCGGATTTCTGTGTTCGCAGACCTTAAATAAGAGTCAATTTCCTTGATTTGGGATTTTAAATAAACCGGTGACTTGGGACACCATAATAAATATTTCAAGTGGCGACTTTGAAAATAAATAAAAATAATCCCATGTCGGTTATTGTCACTTTAATTGGAAAAACTCCCATATACCGCCTTCAGGTGGTAGAAAAAGGAGGTGTGACACCAGCCTAATGGCAGCTTCAGCCTGGCCTCGCCAGGCTAAGCTGGCCTTTGCCTGGCTCACCAGGTCTCTTTTTTTTACTGTGCTCGAGCACACTTTTAATGTTTAAGTATCCCTATTGCTCTACTTTCATCTCCAATTCACCTACACATAAAATAGACTCCATTACGCGCAAATAAAGTGTAATTTATCATTAAGGCATGTAAAATTCAAGGCACATAATGTGCTAAACCATGAATTATAGCCACACATCAATACCCCACACTTAAACATTGCTCGTCCTTGAGCAATCAAACTACACTCATGGACACAAAATATTAAGCAATTCCCTTAACTCATTATACCAAGAATCTTTAAAATAGTTTAAGCACAAAGGTGTGACATCCTCATATCAAGAATCGACTCACAAATACCATGCCTTATTCACAATACACTTACTTACTCTAACATGCAAGTCAACAATATTACCTTTCCTTTATGAATCATGTGCCTTCACCCAATCAAAGAGCTTAGTTCCACACACAATAAATTTTAATAATGTAGGAACTCAAGATAGGAAAAAATTCACTCGCTCTTAGAAATAACCTTCATATGCCCTAAATGACGCACCATAAGCTTGCTCGTAGTGTAATACTCCACTAATCGAGTTTATTCAGTCTAAGATCAAATAAGACTTTTATTGGTTGTAATGTAGGTTGCAGGTCGGGTAGGATACATTTGGATATAAGTGACTACGCCTCCCTTAAGCAATTTAATACAAATACTTTAACCTTCAAGCCCATACTTATGTCAAACCAAAACTCCACCTTAACTTCACTATAATTTACCCCTACTTCTTTAAGCACCAGTACATCAATAGCCACCACTATCAGGAATCATTTTTCATACACTACAACTATATATATTCTTTTTCTATCTAAATGACTTTTATTGACACATTTTTTTTCTTTCAAACGGTGCACCTTTCTCCTTATTTCACTTGTTCCACTCAAAATCCAACCCACCACCCCACGCTTTAATTTTTCCATAATTCCTCATAATTCAAGTGCTCATGAGAGGTGACAAGGTTCAAATATATGGTCGATTCAAACAAAGGGGTACGACTTTTAATGTGGTTACCAAATAAACATGATTATACGCTCAAAAGGGGTTAACTACGATACATAATATTTAGGTGGGTATTCTATATATATCTGGCTTAGAAAAGAACCGCCTATATCACTTCTCAGACTGAACAAGACTACTATTTTGTTTTGCACATACACGGGGCAAGTTGTAGACATCAAATGCAATGCATAGAATATATACAAACCTCACACAGACATGACACATAACTCATTCAGGATTGGTTTTTATCACGACACTCCCGTCAAAGCAGTTAAGCAAATTTAAGAATCTACGATTTAAGGTATTTATACTAGAGTCAAAAATTGAGCCTAAGCGTCACAACCAGAGTACTGACTATTCTCAAGGCATCAAAAAGCTCAGAGATATTGCTGCGATTAAATGCATAGCCACGTGATTTCTACCCCAAAAAAGTTAAAACTAACTACATCCGGTTCAACTAAAAATCCTTGGAAAGGAACCGCGACCCAAAGAAAAACCAAGGGGGAATTACTACACTACCTAATTTTTTTTTGGTATTTTCTTTAGACTTACTTCCCTCAAGAAAACTGTCTAGGAGATCCATCATTGGAAAAAGTCCAACATTTTTAAATATTTTTTTTTTCATATTTTCTGCCTAAAAACAACTAACAAAAAACAGGAATAAAAAAAAATTCTAAAAATCAAAACAAATAACTAAAATAATTAGCTAACGTAAACGACACTTACTACAACAACAAAAACAGATAACAACTACTAATATCTACAAATTCTCACCCCACACTTAAATCATGAATTGTCCTCAGTGCATGTACAATTTGACAAAACAAGAAAGAAAAAGAGTAGGGTGCAAGGAAACTCCCTGATCAAGCAACGTCTTCATCCTCTGACGCTCTCCACTCTTCATCATGTTCGTCCTCCTTATCGTCATCATCTCCCTCACCATCTAACTGCTCAGTCTCAGCCTCAGATTGCTCCGGTGTGTTGATATCCTCATCATCGAGGAGTCTGTATCCATCTCCTACTCCAAATATTGTTGGGCATGAGCATTGAGCGGGTACCGCTGCTCCAATTCAGTCCTCTCCTCAGATGTGGCCGGGTGACCCCCTATCCGCAGCTGCAAATCCATCATCCCATAGAGATGGGTCATAAAATTATCATCATGTGCATTGTGCTCAGCACATGTCAATGAAGGCATAACAGTCTCATCTTTTAGCCGGAGATTAGTGATGTCCGTTTGTCGGATGGGCTGATCGATGGTGTGGTCAAACTCAGGCTCCTCCTCAACCCCCTTGTACTGTAAGAATTGGGTCAATAAATTAGGAAATGGCATTCGATCTATTTTCTTACTCGTTCTCACTAATAACATGTGGTAGCGGATCAAATGACCCACATTCACCCTCTGACCTATCATAAGGAAGTATAGAATACATGTCCTCTCACGGCTCACAAGCGTGTCATGATTGCAAGGTAGGAGCCGTGCATTTATCAGCTTAAGCCACACCTGAGCCTCCGCCTTCATCTTCTTCTTAGTGAACCTCTTGTGACGATTTGTTACCTTATCCCAAACCAGTGCAGCCGTAGAGTTGACACCACAAAGCGTGTGCCGCAACTCTCTATATGTAGGCCGATGAATGAATTGGTCCAATGGCTCTACACGAACATTTGGTGCACCTAAAAAGTCGCATATGGCCTTGGCTGAAAAATTTACAAGCTTCCACGAATTGGCACCAGCTGCTCCGTGTCCGGTGGGTCAAACCTTGCATAGAATTCCCGGATTAGGTTGAGATTGATGTCTCTTGTGTTCTTAAAAACATAGCTTAACCCCAAATTCTGGATGCCTTTCCAAATTGCCGGATACTTCGCTTTCATGCTGCGTTCCTGGATGGCTGCTTCTGGATGGACATGTTTAGGCCTACATCGCCTATACCAATCCCTCATATGCGGAGATATGCTGTTTATGCCAAACTCCTATTGTCCTTGGGGTTGTGGACGCATGGCAGCTACAACTGCCACAGCTTGTGCTCCACTCAGACTAAAGGTAACTTCTCCCCCTTTTCTCTTCTTTGGAGGAGGTGCGGAGGTCGCCTTTGCTTTAGCTTGGGCAGTTGAAGTGGCCTTTCCTTTGCCTGTTTATTTTATGGGAGGTATCTTCATTCCTACACAAATAAGCAGTAGTCGAATAGTGCTGCATTACACACTACACACATAATCTTGCCCAACTTGCCGAGGTTCCTTATACTTCACCTCGTATTTTCTTAATATTAGAATCAAACAACAACACATGGGCTACCCGTGAGCCACCCCACACTTAAAATGTTAACGTGCTGCACGATTACATAACACTAGTTTATTAATCCAGGAGACTCGGGCTCCAATGGGGAAAAGGAATGCCATTGAGGTATTATATCAAACACTTAACAAACACTAGTGCCATAAGAGTGCTTATGGAGATGAGGGATTGCCTCATCCTCCCAAATTGGCTTGGGGGTTTTGTACTACCACATATTTTAACAATCGCAACACCATTCTTATGGGGTTCATGGGGTTGGGGCACACAATCACAATACTACAATGAAGAACAACCACCAACTTTTGTGTGTAATTGTATACCTGTACCCAACTTGAAATTGTAAGGAAAAGAGATAAAATCATACCTTTGAAGCTTTTGAGAGGAGGAAGCCTGAGAATTTTTGATGAGTGTGAAGAATAGCAAGACCAAGATTGACATCAACGGGGATGGAAAAGACAACTATGGTAATGTTCTAATGAGTGTGTGGGGGTGAGCAAATCGTGCAATGTGTTTGGTTGGGAGCAAAGCTGATGAGCAGATGTGTGTGTTTATGAATTTTCTATTAGAGCTTGATGTGTGTTTGGGGGAAGGTAGGTTAGGGTTAGTTGTTTTTTTTTTTGTATTTTGGTCAAGTTTAGGGCGTGTAAGGGAGGGGGTTCGACTAAAATAAGAGAAGAGCAATTAATTAGGCCTAAAAAACTTACCTGGCATCGCCAGGCCCAGTACCTGGCGTTACTCAGGCGTTGCAAGCCTATCACCAGCCTTACTTGGCTTTACACATGCGTCGCCAGCCTAAGGCCTGGTGTACCTGGCGTTAGCTAGGCGTCGCAAGCTGTAACGACCCGGCCGGTCGTTTCATGAGTTACCGCTCTGTTTTCCCTATTTTTGCTTCTTTATATCTTGTTCAACTGTATTATGTGGCATCATGTTGGTTAGTTTAGGTTCGGAGAGGTTTTGTAGAGAAATGAGACACTTAGTCTCTTAAGTTGACCTTTTAGTTGGAAAGTCAATTGAAAGTTGACTTGTGGGTAAACGATTCTGAATTTGGTTTTTATGATTCGGATAGCTTAGGGAGGTTATTTGGGACTTAGGAGCGTGATCGGAATGTGCTTTGGAGGTCCGGAGTAGATTTAGGCTTGAATTGGCAAAATTGGAATTTTGGTGTTTTCCGGTTGATAGGGAAAATTTTGATATATGGGTCGGAATGGAATTCCGGAAGTTGGAGTAGGTCTGTTGTGTAATTTGAGATGTGTGTGCAAAATTTCAGGTCATTCGGATGAGGTTTGATAGACGTTTTGATAAAAAGCAGAATTTGGAAGTTTTTGGAACCCCTAGTCTTGAATCCGATGACGATTTGATGTTTTGATGTTGTTGTGAGTGTTCCGAAGGTTGAAAAAGTTTGAATGATATTATGGGATATGTTGGCATGTTTTTTTGAGGTCCCGAGGGCTTCGGGTGAGTTTCGGGTGGTTAAACAGATCAAATCTTGTTGTGGGGAGTTGAAGATTTTCTGCTGTTGGTGTTGCAGAGTTTTGGCCTTCGCGTTCACGAGAGGGCTCTCACGTTCACGAAGGGATGAGAAGTGAGGCAGTCAATTTGGCCTTCGCATTCACAATGTTGGTCCCACATTTGCGAAGGGTGAGGTTCAGTGTGCTTCACGAGCGCGATGAGGTTCCCGCGTTTCGTGTAGAGTAAATGGGAGCAACCGGGGTCCTAGTCTTTTGTGCTTCGCGTTAGGGAGGTCATGTTCACGATGGTCTAGAAAGCGGAAGCTCCGCATTCGCGAGCTGGAGGTCACGTTCGCGTAAGAGGAATTAATGGTCAATGAGTTTTTGTGCTTCTTGAACGCGAGGCTTTGACCGCGTTCACGAAGAAGGAAAGGGTCACATGGACAGAATGTTTAAATAGCCATTTTTCGCGATTTTGGGTCTAACTTCCACCATTTTTTGAGCGATTTTGGAGCTTTTTGAGAAGAATTGAAGAGGGAATCAAAGAGAAACACTTGGAGGTAAGATTTATGGACTTAATACTCGATCCTATTTTGATTTCTACCTAATTAAACATGAAATTTGTGGAATCTAAAGCCTAAAATTGGGGAGTTAGGGCTTGGAATTTTAGACTTTGATTTGAGAATTTGAGGGGTCGTTTGTGGTCCATTTTTGATGTATTTGATATGTATGAATTCGTGAGAGTGTAAAGATTCTAGTTTTGTGATTTTTATCAGAATCCGAGTCGTGGGTCCGGGTGTTGAGTTTGACCAATTTCGAGATTTTTGATGTAAATTGGTTATTTCAAGTGAGCTCTGTTCCATTTAGCATATTTTGATAGTATAAATCTATTTTTGGTTAGATTTGGAGCATTCGGAGGCCAAGTCGAGAGGAAAAGGCATTGTGGGCTAGAGTTTGGACCGGATAGAGGTAAGTAATGATTGTAAATGTTGTCCTGAGGGTATGAAACCCCAGATTTCACATCGTTGTGCTACTTTGAGGTGACGCACACGCTAGATGACGAGCATGGGGTCGTGCACCGTTAAGAATTGTGATTTAGTCCGTCCCATATGACTGTTAAGTCGTGTATTTGATTGAAAACTGTTTGATATCATTGTGTTTTGGAAAGTATTATCGTGTTTTGGGCTGAATGCCATATTTGGGCCTCGTACCAACTGTTTTGGACCCTTAGGGGATTTTTATTACTATTCCTCACTGTTTTGACTTCATATTTGTACTCAGTCAATGTTGTATTCTACTGTTTTCATAACTCAGCCATATTTACTCTGTTTTGATATTTTAAATGATATTTTGGGTTGAGCGTCACGTTTTACTGTTGCCCGAGTGGCTTGAGAGGTTTTTGACTGAGTGAGGCTGAGAGCCTGTATTGTGAGGATATTATGGATCGGGCTGCGCGCCGCAACAGTGTTGTACTGATTCATGATTATGAGGCCGAGGGCCTGATTTGTTATGCCACGAGGTGGCTTGTTATGAGGCTGAGGGCCAGTTTGATTATGCCACGAGATGGCTTGTTATAGCGCTTGGGCTATAGGAGCCTCTCCGGAGTCTGCACACCCCTAGTGAGCGCGGGTACCTAGTGTGAGATGTGATATTGCCCGAGGGGTTGTTGTTGTTTCATGTTATTGCCTGAGGGACTGATACGAGTGATTGTGAGGTATCCCGAGGGGCTGGTTCTGTTGATATTTTGCCCGAGGGGCGGTTGTGGTACTTGTTTTGCCCGAGGGGCTATTTTACGTTTCTATCCTTTTCTCACTGTTTTCATCACTTGTTTGAAACTATTGAAAGATGTTTTAAAGAGGTTTTTCTGAACTGAAATGTTTTCACGTGTTTTACTGCTTTACTATATTGTTCTTGACTTATACTGTTTTTGTGATATCATTATGCTGTGGTTAACGTGTTTTCTTACTGCTCAAATGCCTTTACTTTTATTACTTACTGAGTTGGCGTACTCACATTACTCCCTGCACCCTGTGTGCAGATCCAGGAGTCTCGAGTCACGCTAGCGAGTGCTGATTTGTCTTCCAGCAAGCTTCCGGAGTTGACTAGGTAGTGCTTGGTGTCCGCAGCCAAGTGCTTCTCCTTATAATCTGTATTCCGCTTTGTTTCAGACTATTTTGTCTTTTTCATATTTCTAGACGAGTTGTAGTGCTCATGACTAGTGACACCCCGATGTCGGGCTGTGTTTTGTTTCCGCACTATTCTATTCTACCTTATATTTTGGGATTTTTAGCTTATTAATGACTTTAAATGACTTATTATAATTGTTTGGTTGGTTTGGGGTTTGTGTCGGTTGACCTAATTTCATGGTAGGTGCCATTATGATCGGGTCCATTTTTGGGTCGTGACATAAGCCTATCGCTAGTCTTACCTGGCTTTATCCTAGCTTCGCTAGCCCCAACGTCTGGTGTACGTCAGGTGACGCTTAAACCTTGCTCGACTTTCCCAAACTCACATGCAAACTTGTTAGTACCTAAAAACAAAAAGGAAAATTCTAACTACACTAAAAATCTATAGGGTTGCCTCCTAACGAGTGCCTTAGTTAACGTCGTGGCACGACAAATACAACAGTCCAATGGGTTGCCTCCCATGAAGTGCCTGATTTAACATCGCGCCACGATGCAGGTAAGCGCATTTAAGGTACGCTCAGCATCGGAGGCTCGGTCAAATGAGTCACTAACACTACCTTTGCTTCATCCATGCCTACATAATGTTTTAATCTGTGCCCATTGACTCTGAATTTGCGAGAGTCATTTTCCGCAGCAATCTCTACGACACCAGTGGGATGAATTTCAACCACACGAAATGTCCCTGACCATCTTGCCTTTAATTTGCCTGGAAATAACCTCAGTCGTGAATTGTATAGCAATACCCTATATCCGGGTTTAAAACTCCGCTCAATAATATTTTTGTCATGTATCATCTTCATTCTCTCCTTGTATAATCTCGTGCTCTCAAAAGCATGGTATCGAAATTTATCAAGCTCGTGCAACTCCATGATTCTACTTGTTCTTGCAACTTCAATATCGAGATTCAACTGCCTCAACGCCCACAAAGCACTATGCTCCAACTCCACCGATAAGTGACACGCCTTACCAAATACCAACTTGCATGGAGACATGCCGATCAGAGTTTTAAAAGCCCAGAGTGCATCATCTAACATTCTCTCCCAATCCGTACTAGTAGCACTCATAGTCTTTGTCAACACACTCTTTATCTCTCTGTTTGAAACTTCCACTTGCCCACTCGTTTGTGGATGATATGGGGTGGAAACCTTGTGGCGTACATCATTCTTCTCTAACAACTTCATGAAGTCTCGATTACAGAAGTGAGTGCCTCCATCACTGATTATTGCCCTTGGAGTGCCAAATCAGGTGAATATGTTCTTTCTTAAAATATCAATTACCCCCTTTGCATCATTTGTAGGGAGTGCTGCAGCCTCCACCCATTTGGACACGTAGTCCACAGCGACGAGTATGTACTTGTTGCCATATGAGCTGATAAAAGTCCCCATGAAATCGATTCACCATACATCAAACACTTCTACTTCCTGAATTGGTTTCATAGGCATCTCATGTCGGTGGGAAATATTCCCAGTTTGTTGGCATTCATGACAACCCTTTATCCATAAATGTGCATTTTTGAACAATGTCGACCAGTAGAAGCCCAACTTCAAGACTTTCGCAACTGTCCTTACTCACCCGAAATGGCCACAATATGGTGACGCATGACACGCCTGCAAAATAGAATATTGGTCTATCTCGGGGATACATCTCTGGATCATGTTATCAACACAAATCTTGAACAGGTAAGGCTCATCCCAATAATACATGCGACAATCAAGAAAGAACTTTTTCTTTTGGATAGAGGAATGGTTATAAGGAACAATACCACTTGCCAGGTAGTTTGCAATGTCAACATACCATGGTGCTTCGTCAAGACTTATGGCTAATAGTTGTTTATCTGGGAAAGTTTCCACAATCTCTTCCACCTCGACCTTCTTCTCATCTCCTTCCAGCCTAGACAAGTGATCAACTACTTGGTTCTCCGTTCCCTTTTGGTCACGAATTTCCAAGTCCAATTCTTGCAGCAGTAGCACCCATCGAATCAAGTGCAGTTTTGACTCCTTCTTCTCAATTAAGTACCTGAGAGCAGCATGGTCAGTATAAACAATTACCTTCAAGCCTATCAGGTATGACCTGAATTTGTCAAATGCGAACACCACTGCTAGCATCTCCTTCTCGGTCACTGTGTAATTTAACTGGGCACCCCTCAGAGTTCTACTTGCATAGTATATTGGATTCATGACTTTGTCTTTTCGCTTCCCAAGAACTACTCCCACAACATAGTCACTCGCATCACACATTAGCTCAAATGGTTGCTCCCAGTCAGGGGAAACTATGATATGTGTTATTACTAGTCTCTTTTTCAATTCCTCAAACGCTACCCTACAGTTATCAAAAAACACAAAAGGGTGATCTTTTTCAAGGAATTTACAAAAGGGGTTAGCTATTTGGAAAAATCTTTTATAAATCTCCTATAGAAACCGGCGTGCCCAAGGAAACTTCTGATTGCTTTGACAGAAGTGGGTGGTGGAAGATTTTCTATCACATAAACCTTTGCACGATCTACCTCAATGACTTTACTCGACAATAGGTGCCCCAAGACTATACCTTCCTGTACCATGAAATGGCACTTTTCCTAGTAGAGTACCAGATTCGTCTAGATACACCTCTTCAATACTCTTCTCAAGTTCTTAAGGCAATCATTTTATGAGTTCCCCACCACTGAGAAGTCATCCATGAAAACCTCCATTATTTACTCTACCATATCTGTGAAGATGGCCATCATGCACCTTTGGAATGTGGCGGGTGCGTTGCATAGGCCAAACGACATCTTCAAAAGGCATAGATACCATAAGGGCAGGCGAACAATGTTTTCTCTCTGTCCTCCGAGGCAATAGAGATTTGATTATACCCTGAGTATACATCCAAGAAACAAAAGTAAGACCGCCCTGCCAATTTATCTAGCATCTGATCAATGGATGGTAGTGGAAAATGGTCTTTCCGGGTAGCCAAATTCAACTTTCTGTAGTTCATACAGATTTGCCAAATGTGACTGTTCGGATTGAGATCAACTCGTTCTTCTCATTTTTCACTACCGTCATACCACCCTTTTTTGGCACACACCGAACTGGGCTAACCCACTTGCTGTCAGAGATGGGGAATATGATTCCCCCATTTAACCACTTAATCACTTCTTTCTTCACCACTTTTTTCATGTTAGGGTTCAGCCTTCTTCGGTGTTCTCTGGAAGGTTTGTGCCCATCTTCCAGTAGAATCTTATGCATACAAAATGCCGGGCTGATACCCTTAATATCAACAATGGTCTAACCAATTGCAGTCTTGCACTCCATCAATACCTGTAAAAGCTGTTCTGCCTGCACATCTAACAAACTAGATGAGATAATAACAGGTAAAGTTGAGTTAGGGCCAAGAAAGCATACCTGAGATGAGGTGGTAGGGGCTTCAATTCCAACTTTGGTGGATCTTCTATCGACGGCTTAGCTGGAGGAGTTTTCCTTTCTTCTAAGTTCAAAGGCTCAAATTCAAGCTCCCTTCTCTAAAAACCTTGGCCTTCAAGAGCAAGTACCCAGTCCGCCAAGTCCTCTTCGTTTGCTTCGTCTAAGTTCATGAGACAGGCTGCTAGAGTGTCTTTGGTGTTCAATGTCTCATCTTCCTCCTCCAAAATTACATCCTTGGCTTCTATTAGAGAGCAATTAGCAAATTCACTTGGTCGCCGCATAGATTTCTACATGTTGAATGCTATTTCTTCATCATTTAATCTTATTTTGAGCGCTCCCATTTCACAATCAATTAAAGCTCTCCTAGTGGCCAAAAATGGTCTTTCCAAAATTATGGGAATTTCCTCATCAACCCGATAGTCAAGAATGACAAAATCTACTGGGAACACAAACCTCCCAACCTGTACTAATACATCATCAGGAATACCAGAGGGCCTCTTCACTGTTTGGTCAGCCAGCTGTAGTAACATGGACGTGGGTTTAGCTCTTCCAATGCCTAACCTTTTGTAGATAGCCAGGGGCATCAGGTTTATGCTTGCCCCCAAATCACACAGTGCCTTAGCAAATGCATTGTTGCCTATTGTGCATGGGATTGTGAAACTCCCTGGGTCAGACAGCTTCTCAGCTATGGGTCTCGTCACAACAACACTACATGTTTGAGTTAGTGTAACCGTGGACACGTCTTGAAAGTCGAACTTACGAGACATCAAGTCCTTCATCATTTTTGCATAACCAGACATTTCCTTTAAGGTGTCAATCAATAGAATCTTTACCTAAATTTGCTTCAACATCTCCAAGAATTTCTTGTACTGCTCATCTTTCTGATACTTGGCCAATCTCTATGGGAATGGTGCTGGAGGTCGCTTCTTCCCTGTGATTTGATTTTTTTCTTGCTCAGGCACTGCTTCAACTGTCGTTTATTATGCTACCTCAGTGTCTTTCGCAACCTCTTTTTCTTTGCTGGCGTTCTCTTGTGCATGCTGTACTGTCACTTCAGTTAACTCCGTTGATTCATCTATCTCAGAAGGTACTAGCAAAAATGTTTTAGAAGGTCGATTTTCACGATCCATTTCTTGCTCCATATCTAGGTCTCTACCATTTCGTAGACTCACCGCCATAAGCTATTTTGGGCCCTGCTCTTTTGGATTGATTTGTGTGTCTGCAGGTAACGTCCCTTGGGGACGATCATTTAAAGCCATTGAAATCTGGCCTAATTGCACCTTAATACCCTTTATAGTTGATTCATGTGAGTCTACTCTCTCTGTTAATTTTTTAGTGGTCCCTATCAGTTGTTGCGACATTCTATTGTTGTTATTCAGCATTCCCTCAAGTTTAGCAAATCCATCATATTGTCTCACAATCTGTTATTATTGAGGTTGTTGATAATCCAGATGTTGTTTTGCTAGTTATAACCCTGTTGCCTTTGGTAAGGCACCACTTGACCCTATGGTCGCATAGCTCCAAGATTGTTGTTGTACTGCTGCTGAACTGGTCTATATTATTGATTCTGCTGACCCCAATTATGACCACCTTGCCTCTATCCCCCGTAGTTGGTCACATAGTCCATATTTTCCTGATATTGCTGGTTGTTACCTTCCACACTCCACAAGAAACAATTGGTTAGTTAATGTATGGTGTACATAAACCCCCATTAGTTGCATCAACTATGTGTACCTACTGCTTCTAGTATGATTTATCTATCTTTTTGGTGAGAATACTCATTTGTGTCACTAGAGTGGCCATATTTTCAGCTATGGAGTTAGTTGGGTCTAAAGTCACTGAGTGAACTACATGAGTGATTGGAGAGTCTCTTGTCATCCATCCTGAGTTTTGGGCCATCTTGTCAAGTAGGATTTTGCTTTCTCTGAATGTTTTGCTAAAAAATGCTCCACCTGCTAAAGCATCAACATTAGCCTTTAAGCTGTCTGCCCATCCCATGTAAAACCTCTGCCCCAATATCTGCTCTAGAATGCCATGATGTGGACACTTAACCATGAACCTCTACCATGTTTCTTGCAATGTTTCTGTTGGTTTATATCTGAAGCTCAATATCTCATCAATTTGTTGAGCAGTCTTATTGGGTGGGTAGAACTTGCTCACAAATTGCTTGACTAATTCCTCCCAAGTAGTGATGGAGTTTATGGGGAGTGAATTAAGCCAAGTTTGAGCCGCCCCTGTCACTGAGAAGGGAAACAACAACAACCTTATTGCTTCCGGTGTCACATTAGGTTGCCTTTGCGTGGCACATATCGACAAGAAATTCTTCAGATGCTGCTGAGGATCTTCAACGTATGAACTTGAGAACAGTCCCTTGTTCTGCAACAAATGTAGCATGTTATTTGTGATTTGAAATGATTTCGCTTATATCTAAGGGACTGAAATTACGGTTGCCAAATTGTCGGCGGTGGGTTGTGCCCAGTCATACAATGCTGCTTCTGGCATAAGAGGCACCACACCCTGATTGTTTGGGTCATTCACATTGTTTCTGTTTTTTGAATTTTCTACTCTGTCATCCATGTCTGGTTCGATTTGTTCTATTAAGTTTTGTTGTTGTTTGCCTTTCTTGTTTGCACGATTCAATGCGTTGAAAACTTTCTCAGGATCTGATAATACTTTGAACAATTCACTAGTTCTTGAGGAGTTTCTAGGCATGCATCTGTAACACCCAAGACTACAAACGTTAGAATTTCAATGTATTTAGTTTAAAATGAAGAAAATTGACTACACTAAGAATTCTAGCACTTCTTTTAGCTGCAATTAATAACACCGCTAATTCCCCGACAACGACGCCAAAATTTGATCACGCCCAACTATGCCTCATAAAAAGGACAAAGCGATCGTTGCAATTATATTCTGATTAACAAGTCTGGAGTTGAATCCCACAGGGAATTAACCTATCAAACACAGCTATTGGACTCACACAAATTTACGTATTCAATCTTCAGAAATATTTAAGTAATAAATTGGATGTTTACTAACTAAATATTACGTAACAAAAATTCAGTTAATAATAACTACGAACGGGTTGTAGACAAGAATTGGAATGATCTAAGGTTCTGAGTTCCCCTATTGTCGGAATCCTTTCCGCTACGTTTCCTATAATTTTGTCTAAGTCTTCTCTATCTATCATGAGTACTCTGACTGTCGTAACTCTCTCCTGAGTAATTACAACAATATACTAGACATATTCTCCTGAAATACACTAGCTAGCCTTAAGTACAACTCACTTAGATCGCACCAAGATCCCTAATCCCACCTTTAAACCCTTCGTATTGTTCCCTCATATACGTTAGGAGTGATGTTGTTCAACAACTACTTAATATGCACTCTTTCTCAAGTAATACATACTAAATAGGAACAGTTAATTGAAGGCCCTTCTGTCAACAACAATAAGCATATAGTTGAACAAATAGAGAGAATACTATAGCAAATCTATATTAACGTAACAAGAAAATCATTCTCCAATAAGTTCCATCAAAACCCTAGATTAGGAGTTTAGCTACTCATACTCATAGTAACAATATCAAAAGTAATTTGCATAATTAAATTACAAAGTAAGTATAAAGGGATGTAGAAATCGATGATTCTAACTCCCAAGTAGTGTTCCACGAGCTATCCTTGCCTCCGATTGCAAAAATCCTTCAAAGTGGCATTTTTGGATCTATTTATATGTTTAGGATAAGACCTAAATGTGTAGGTCAAATCCTAGTCAAGTCGGGAAATGAATTAGGTCTTCGAAACTCGAACTGGAACTGGCCTCAAGCCTAGCATCGCCAGCCTAATGCCAGCTTCAGCCTGGCCTTATCCTTGCAGTGCCAGCCTAATGCTAGCCTCATCCTATATTTTACCTCACAGCGTCAGCCTAAAGCCCGCTTCAACCTGGCCTTTGCCTGGCCTCGCCAGGTCTCTCCTTTTCACTTTTCTCGAGTACACTTTCATCGTTTAAGTATCCCTTTTGCTCTACTTTCATCTTCAATTCACCTACACATAAAATAGACTCCATTACGCGCAAATAAAGTGTAATTTATCTTTAATGCGTGTAAAATGCAAGGTACATAATGCGTTAAACCATGAATTATAGCTACAGATTAGGCTTAAAAGCTATTTTTAAGGATACCTCCTATGGCAAAGATATACACCCTATTTATTATAAATCAAATCAATTTAAAATATTATTTTCTATAGTTACCTTTTATATTTTATAGCAAAATAAGTACTTATGGTATATACTACCATTGAGGCATAAAATACGCTATTTATGTTTTTCCTCTTTCTTAGACAGCTGGACATACCTATTTTTAAGATGATTGCTGTTACTATATTTATGAATACATGGCGCAAATACATGTGAATACATGTGCGTACAACTGGACTGCCCTGATTTTAGGCATTTTTTGCTGTTGTGTTCATGAATACATGACACGAATACCTGTGAATACATGCACGTAAAGCTGGACTGCCCTAATTTTAGGTATTTTTTACTGCTGTATATATAAATACAACACCATGAATACATGTGAATACATGCGCGTACAACTAGACTGCCCTGATTTTAGGTGCTTTTTGCTGCTGTATTCATGAATACATGGCGCAAATACATGTGAATACATGCGCGTACAACTGGACTGTCCTGATTTTTAGGCACTTTTTACTATTGTATTCATGAATACAACAACACGAACACAACGAATACACTAGCATAATAACTGAATAGTAGATGTAAGAAGTAATTATGTATATGGTAGTTATAGGAAGTTAATATCCACTAAGCAATAATGGTTTCTAAAAATTCCTCTTTTTTAAAAACAATCCAAAGGGCTCTAAGTTAAGTTTGTTCTTACATTGGGTCGGTGAGGAGTTAAGCCCATCATACCAAACAATGAGTAGTCCAAAGCTATATTACAATATTACAACTTTTAACATTTCTTTCAAAAATAGTTCCTAGGGTGTCTGCTCATACTACTTCATTGACAAGCACAAGAGGAACTACCAAAAAGTTGATTCTTGCTTCCCTGCCTTTGTTGCCAACTAGTCCGCCATCCTATTTGCCTCTCTGAATGTGTGATCTACCGGTGGATGGCCCAGTGCTGCTAGGAGAAACCTGCATTCATATATCAGGGGATCATATATTAGATGTCCATTATTTATGCATTATATTATCTCTGTTGAATTCACAATGTCCTCTAAGGGCATTAGATTGCTTGATATTGCTATTTTTAGGTCATGCAAGAAAGCTCTTAGCTCATAATGGAGGGTATTTGTGCACTTGATTTTTTTCCATGTACTCTGTTAGCCAATCCCCATTGTTGTTGCTAATTACCCCTTCTATTCCCCCAGTGTTATTATTTTGATTGTAAGCACCATCAGTGGTTAGCTTGTAACAACCCCTCCCTCGGTGTTGCCATTTAATAGATACAACAATACTGTGTCTGGGCTCTTTTCCTCCAATTGCTATGTGCATGAATTCTACAACCTTGTTAATGGGCACTCTAAAGGGGACATGATCCTTCGTATGGTTGAAGTTGTTGATGTTCCTGTGAGCACCTAATTTTTGACCATATTTAAATTTTTACCATTTTAAGTATGTAACTAATTTTAAGTTTAATTTACATATTTTAGCTTTTGTTTTACCCTTTTATAGGTTTTTTTTGAAGAAAATTAAAAACTACAAAAGAGTTACATTTTTTAGAGTATTAGTTTTATTTTTATTTACAAAGAATGAAGAGTTCAAAAAGTATAGTTTTATCTAGTTTAGTACAATTTTTAAGTTAGAGGCTTTATGAATTAAATATTACTTTCCTTTGTATTTACTTATTTTAGTAGGAGTAGATTGTTTTGCTTAATTATTATAAAAAACAAATACTACAAAAAAAAGCCAATCACAATTGGCCACTTATCAAAAATTCTTCCTAACTAATTTCCACTTTTCTTGGTAGCTTCTCACCGGCACACACTTTGGATGGCCTCACAATTCACTCATTTTTGGCCACTCTCATGGGCTCCTCTTCCTCATTCTCTCTTACTGATATAAACACTCACCACACACAAAAGAAAGGAGAGAACAAATCTGAAAAAGCATTGTTGTTGCTAATTACCCCTCCTATTCCACCAGTGTTAT